CTGGTGTGCATCTACCAGCCATGCCAGCTGGAATGGACTGTCCTTCCAGGGCTGGGAGAGCAGCACTGATGGGCTGGGCTGGGACTCAGCACCACCACTCAGCACTCACTGCATGAGCCCCCTCATTGCTCTGCACGAGAATAAAACTGCCAGTGGCCCTGGGAAGGGTTTGGCCACCACTTTGCCATCTTCATGATGATGCATCCTGGCTGCTGTGCCCACCCTACTGCCCACCCCCATCCCAGCCCTGCAGGCTGCCAGGGGAGCACTGCCCGGTCCCCCGTCCCTCCAGCCCTTCCTCGCCTCTATTTGGATAACTTTTTCACCCGTTTTATTTATGAGGGCTCCCCTCCTTCTGCCAACACTCTGAGTTTCCTCTCGTTCTGCTCTGGGAGGCCCATCTCGCTTTGTTACGCTTTTTATTTCTCTCCCCCTCGCACGGCCCCAGGCTCGCAGGCAGCGGCCGGAGCCTTTGTTCAGCCCCGGGAGCAGATGGGAGAGCGGCCGCGGGTGGGATGGGCAGCGATTCCTCCCCGTCCACCCAACGGCACCCGGCTCTGCCTGCACTTGCCCAAGCTCAGCATGTGGCTCATGAGCTCACTGACTCTCAGACTTAAAAATTAGGAGAAAACCAGGATTAAAAAAAATAAAAATTAAAAAAAAAAAATTCAGGAGGAAATTAATATCAGAAATGTTTGCTTGCCTGTGTTTTAGGTCCCCGATGTTCCAGGGCTGGCAAGAGGCTGCTCCCATTAGAGCCAGATGCAAGTGGGCAGAGTAACTTCATATTAAGTGATTAAGGGGCTTGTCCAGCTCCTTGCATTGCTTCTGTCAGGCAAAGCTGGCTGCTCGCTACAGAAATGAGGCTGGCTTTGCACCCTGGGGCAAAGCTGGACACAGGCACCCTGGATGCGGGGGCAGCCAGATCCAGTCATCCTGCACTACCATGTCTCCCAGGCTGATGGGAACAGCCCTTGAGCCTCCCCTTCTCTTGCAAAGGAGGCTCAAGTCAGTCCCAGCAAGCTGGGTGGGCCAGGAGCCATCTCCCACCAGCAGCAGGGGCTTCAGCACGGAGGATGCTCAGTACTCACTGCTCCTGGGCCAGCCCTCGCTCCAGGATCTGACACTCAGCACATCTCAGAGGCATCAAGCCCTTGTTCCACCTGTTCACAAGCATCCTGCATTACATGGCTCCTTGCATGTTGTCCAAGAAGCACCATCTGGACACAAAGCCACGACCTGCACTGAACAGACCAAAAACTGGGCATTTTTCTGAGTCCAGCTTTGTGTCAGGCCCAGTCCCACTTCTGTATCCTGCAGCTCAGAGGCCGGGGTGAACGGAGGTCCTCCAGGGCCCTGGCTCCTGTGGGCCTGGGATGCACAAATGAGCAACCTGATAAAAACAGGCTAAAACTCAGCATTTCGTAACTGCTTGACCACAGCTGCCTGGTCCAGCCCAGTACAGTGACACCACTACAGACCCTGTGCAGTTCCTACATGTTTCTATTGCCACAGGCCATGGATCCACCAAAATGCTGATGAGCCCATGGCTCACCATGGGGAGATGTGATCTGAAATAAAGTGATCTGCAGAGTACTGAAGTGTTGGGGACTGGGGCCAGGATGCACAGGGCAGCGTGGATGCCACCACAGGGGTGGGTTAGGTCTGGAGGTGGCACCCACAGGAGGCTGCAGGTCTGGAGCAAGAGAAACCACCACCCAAAGCGAGGCCATGAGCAAAGTGTGAGGAGGTGGCCTGGGAGTCCCACAAGCCCTCCTGGCACCTGGCTGGAAGGTGGGCTGGGGGGGCTGCACATGTTCGTAAAGGAAAAGAGAAGCAGGACATGAAAAATAGAGGAAAGGCAAGGTACTATGATGGAGAGCCATTGAGAGTGATGGAGAGCCATGAGGATCTGATGGAGAGCCACAGGAAGTGATGGAGAGCCATGGAGAGTGATGGAGAGCCTCATAACTGTGACACCTCAACTGCTGTGGCCTCACTCCACACCCTGGCCACGTCCAGGGAACTGGTGTTCCCAGATCACATGGGACCAAACCAGCCCCAGCCCTTTGCTGTGCAGCAGCACAGGCACAGTTGACCTGTCCTGAGGATAACAGCGAGCTGATGTCAGCCCGGGCAGGGGCACCTGTGCCCTGGTGCCCATGTGCATTTGTTGGCAGTTGGCACCCGACACAGCCAAGGAGCAAAGTGGTGCGGGGCTGCTCCGGGATGGTGCCTGCTGAGCCATGCAGGGAGCACAGGCACAGGCCTAGAGAGCATTCCCTGTGGCCAGGAGCCTGGGCAGCAGCGTGCCACCTGATGCTCTGCACCACAGAGGCTGGAGGCTGCTGTTCATCCAGGTGCTGCACTCCCTGCTGGGAAACCTGCCCAGCTGTAACGACGGCTCAGCCCCGGCCCTCGGCAGAGCTCAGCACTGGCTGTGCCCGCTGTGCCCGCTCACACAGCCCGGCTGTGCCACGGGCCGCCCGCAGCCCGAGCACCAGGGCTGGCTGCATGTCCTGAGGCAGCACATCACCTCCTCTAAGCTGCTGCCACTTGTGCTGCCAACCCTCCAGCAGCCCCTCTGCCGGCTTGGGCACGTGCCTTCTTCTTCGGGCCAAGTAGAGCGGGAGAGAGAGAAATCGCGTATACAGATGTATTCACATCGCATAAAAAATCAATCAGAACCCTTTTCCTGCCTCCATCTCCAGCCTTTGCAGGCGCCTGAGCCGGTGGGGGCCAGGCAGCGTGGCGGGGCTGGGACGTGGGGCTGGGGGCTGCTGCCCGCTGGCAGCCCCGGTCCCCGCGAGCGACGCCGGGACGGCAGCGCGGGCGATGGGAACGCCGTACTCACCATATGGAGCCTCCATCTTAGCGCTTAGCTGGGTGCTTACATTGACCATGTCTCGCCGGCTACTGCTATGGGGACTTGGGGTGGAAAAACCAGAGGAAGTAGAGGAACAAAAAAAGAAATCTAAATAAATAAATAAAAATGTCTCTCACTAAGGAACTGGGTGAAGGCAGGAGGGAGCAGCGGAGAGGCAGGGCGAGGAAACCTGCCTCTCCTGTTATCTTATTGATTCGCTTAATCAGGGCTAATGTGGGTGGAGATGTTAAATAGTAACCAAGCTCTTATGGAAACCAATCTGCAAGGTGCCGTTGCTGTAGCTATAGTAACTGCTGCCAAGCTAGAAACTCAAACATGGCTTTTACTGGACTCTTTTGGGGCTCCCGTTTGCAGACAGTGTCAAGGCCAGGGCAGTGGCTGGGCTGGGGTTCACCCCTGGTCACGGAGATGGAGCGTCTGGATCCAACTCTGCAGCGCCCCAGGCCCTGCCGAGTTCTGTGCCATCACCCACCCACGGTGGGAAAACCATGTCTGAGCCCACCTGCGGCAAAGGGCAAACATGGCACGGGGGGCCAGGGGCTGTGGGGCAAGTGTGGGGGCTGGCAGGGGCAGAGTGGAGCCTGGCTGAGGCACAAGGGGCAAAATGCCCCGGCCATGAATTGGGACTTGTCTGCCTGGTGCTGAACTAGGGGGGTTGTTTGGGGATGGGGAGCTGCAGGGATGCTGTGGTGGGATGCAGGGTGGTACCCTGAGTGCTGGGCCAGGCACAGGGAGTTTGCAGCTCCTCCGTCTCCCTCTGCTCCCCAAACTGGAGGGACTCTCAGGGTGCCCCAGCCACTCACAGACATCTGTGCTCCCTTTGGGACCGCAGCACCCCAGACCTCATGGTGGCAGATGTGTGAGTGGGGTCCCCAAACTCCCCGTGGGGCTGTGGCAGCCCCTGTGCCACCGGTGGCTCCGTGACAGGAGCAGTCCAGGCTCCTGGGGGCTGCCCTGAGGCAAGCAGGGCCACATACAAGAAGGGTTGCTGAGAGGACACCAAATATATGGAGAATTCAGAGCTGGAGCAGAAAAAGTGATTGTCCAGCAGTGCAGAGCCTTCCACATCCCCTGCACATCTCAGGACAGGGCCAGGCTGAAGGAGGTACAAAGGGATCCCCGTCAATCCCAGGACCCCCCAGCACCTCAACTACTGAAATCCTGCAGCCCTGAGGGGACAAACTTAGGACATCTGCTCCTCTGGATGGAAAAGCAAATCCCAAGGGAGCGTGCAGTGGGAAGAGTGCTGCCAGGATGCGGAGGGCTGTGCATCCTGGAATACACAGCTGGATGCTCAGATCCAAGGTCTGGAAATCTGGGGGCCTCTGAGTTTTCTGACTGCTGAGAGGTTCCAGAGAGGGAGGGAATGTGGATAATGGGGTGAGGTAGGGCAGCAGGATCACATGGGATGGCCTGGGTGGGACAGGGAGTTCGTGGCCCTTCAGCATCACCATCACCTGGTGTCCCAGCAGTGCTGGCTTCTCCCACACGATGGAGCAAAGCACCCAGGCATCTCCTGTGCCCAGAGCCCGTGGCCCCACCCAAGGCTTCTGCACCACTTTGCAGTTTACCCCCCAAACCAGAGCAAAGACACTGGCTTGGTGTAACCCCGAGGCTCTGCCTGTGAGTGAGGGAGGACTGACACGAGCATGGGGGTCTCCAGGCTGCTTTATTGGGGGCTCAGAGCTGGGTCCCCATGGCTGGAAGGGCTGCTGTGGAGCAGGGGCACGCTCGGGGTTCCCCACTTCTCCAGCTGCTCACCATGAGGGAACATCTTGGTATTTGCTTACACCAGACTCTGCCTTAGCACCGAGGGGGGCAGTGGGGAAAGCCCCCCAAGTCTGCAGAGCAGGGACCACACCAGCCAGCCCCACTCCCTCCATGCACCCCCAAACCTTCCCTATTTCAGAAAATAGGAACCTGAACTGTCCCTAGTTCCCTCAAAGTGGGAAGCAGCCAGGTGACGTGAGCACTGCTGGAGAGGTGGGTTAGAAAAGCAGTTTCCTATGTGGCACTGGGGATGAAGCAGGTTGGACAGCCGGGCTGCTGGGGGTCAGTGTTATAAATAATTCTGGTTGACCCCATTCCCGGGGTTCCTCCTGGGGCTGCAGCCCTAGAACCAGCTGACTTGGTTGGATTTGACTCCGGAGAAGCACATGTTGTTGGAGCAGCCCCGGCCGTAGGTGGGGGGGCAGGCTGAGCACGGCCGCCCCACCTTGTACGGTGCTTCTCCCAGCCAGTTGCCCCTAAAAAGAGAGGAGGGCATCACCTCTGAGCACCAGCACCTCGCCTTGCCACCGGCGAGAGGAGGGAGGATGGCAGGGGGAGGGGGGTTCCCTCCAGGCACTTACTTGATGGCGTAGTTGCAGACGAGGAGGATGGCGTGACGCCACGTGCTGCCCCACACCTGCACGTTGGCACAGGTGCCCAGGGCACAGCCCAGGCGGCTGGAGGTTGCCCACACCATCTGTTCCAGGACAGAGAACAGGCACTGTAAGTGTCCATCCACCCAGGCATCCCGCAGACCATCACCTCGAGACCCCAGAACAGGGCTCTGTCCCACCAGGGCATCACAGCCCACCTGCCTGAGTCTCCTTGGCTGGGTGCTGTCCCATCACGGGCAGTGCTTTGTCACCAGAGGGTGACTTTTTGCTCTCCCTCTCCTGCCTGCAGCCTGCACTGCCCTGCAAGGGGCTGCCTTGCCAAGCTCACAGGAGTGAGCAGCAGCGTCTGGGTCACTTCTCCAATTTACCCAAATTAGCTCCCAGACCTCACCCTGAATCATGGCCAGCAGCTTACCCTGCACACAGGGAGGTCGAGCAGAGACAGAAGCTCCTCCTAAAGCCTCCCCAGGCTGACTTTCTTCCTTAAAAAGTGTATATTGCCCTTTTGCAACTCCGAGAATCCCTGAGCACCCCCATAGAGGAGCCACAGGGGGATGCACGTGCTCAGGTAAAGGCTGGAGCTGTGCAGAGGAGGTAGTCAGGGTTTGGTTCAGCTTTGCTACTGGGCACAGGAGCAGGAGAGTTTTTCACCTTGTGCTGGCCAGGCTGTTGGGGGATGTGCCAGGGGATGAAGGGGCTGCATTCCCGGGGAGGTGAACACAGCTGGGTGCTGTAATTGTGCTCCATCACAGAGGAGAGGGTTCACACTTGGCAAAAGTACAAAGGGGCTTTTTTCTCCTCTTCACTCACCACCTTCGAGTTGCCAGTGGTGTAGTAAGGGAAAAAAGGCCAAAGCAGGGAAAAAAAAGCCTTAAAAAAAGTAATGGAAACCTCCTTGTCAACAGGCCAGAAGGTCCCAGCTGCTCTTCAGTGGGTTGTGAGCCCCTGGGACCTCCCTGCAACGGCCTGAATCCTGCAAGGCTCCAGGACAGGAAGGCATTGCCACCGGCAGACACGCTGCCAGGATCTGAAGCTGGCAGCTGCCAGGATTTGATCCTGGATCCCAGCTGCTGCTGGGAGAGGGGCTGTGAGCTGCACGGGGCCCCCCTCTGGGGTCCCGGGGGCTGTGGGGGCTGCAGGGCTCACCTGCGTGTAGTGGCTGCAGACGGAGCCGCTGCACTTGCTGGGGCAGCGGGGGCTGCACTCGCGGGGGTGGGGGAAGGAGTAGTGCTGCTGCTCCTGGTGCCAGGATTTCACCATGTCCGTGACCGAGCGGTACCTGTGAAAGGCGCTCCACGTGAGCTGGACCTCCCCCACACCAGAGGCCGTGGGTGAAGGAGAGGAAGGGAAGGCTCCACACTGAGGAGAGAGAAACAGTTGGGAGCCAGGGCCTATCAGGACCAAGCATTCCTGGGGGAGAAGGGGGCAATGACAGCCTTGTGCCAAGCCCGCTTGTGCCCAAGGCCAGAAGACCTGGACCTTCATGGAGACACCTGAGCTCTCAGCCATGTGGTGGAGATTTAGGACCCACATCTCCCTGGTCCCTGTGCCTGGCAGAGACAGGAGTAATGCCCCACTTCTCAAATGAAGAGGGCACCTCTGCTTTCCTATATTTACCCTTCTGCAAGAGCTGGACCCTTCTCCACCCCAGAGGGACTTGGTGTGCCTCTCAGCTGCATCCCAGTCCTGTGCAAGCCCAGCTCAGAGCCTCTCTGCTTCTTGACCACAGGGCTGCTGCTACTCCTCCTCTGCTGTGGGGTCTGGGGGGTTCCCAGGAGCTCACTCTGCCCCCAGGGCACTCACCTGCCCGACTGGATGGAGAGGTTCTGCCCCACATATTTCATCAGCTCAGGGGGCCCGTGGTCCCACAGGCAACGTGCAGCCCACGCCTCTGCTGCCCTGGCCAGCCGCTCATCCCACACCTGGCCAGGGGAAAGGAAAAGGGCAGCCAGGAATCTTGGCTTCCCAGAGGAGGGAAGAGGAGAAACCTGCTCCATTGTGCTCAGGGGGCTTTCTGAGCACCCATGAGTGTCCAAAAAATATGACATGTGCATCCAGGCTGGGAAGTGCCCAGGGGAAGCACAGCAGCGTGTCCGGTGATGGACCTCCCCGCTGCCACCACGGCTCCTGGGCACTGCCCACTGCCCAGGCAGAGCAGGGATGCCCTGAAGCAATGCAAGCCCTGTGTGAGTGATTCCCTGCAGGAATGGGCTCCTCAGGAAGGTGGAGCTGCACCCAGGGGTGAAACCCTGCAGTCCTCACAGCTGTCCCCAGCCCTCAGTGCAGCCCTGGCCACAGACTGACCGGTGAGCACAGCTGCTTCCTTCATGCATTATTTAAAGCTTCCTCACCCATCCTGGACTGCTTTGGGGAGATGCCTCTGTGAGTTATTTTGGAAGGCAGGAATTGAGGCCAAGCAAGAAGCAGCACAGGATGCTCCTGGGCATGTCTGACCTGGTACCCATCAAGCCAGGCTGCTGCATGCTTCTCCCAAACCAGCATCCAGGGACCACCCAGGGGCTCCATTGGAGCTCCAGTCCCTTCCCTGGGAGCAGAGCTGCACATGACACCTCCTGCCTCGACAGTCCCACCCTGTGCAGGCTGGAAATCCCTCCTCTTGGTGGCTCCCCATTTCTCCTCCCTTGAGGGCTGGGTTAGGAGCTTCAACCAGGGTGGAGACAACTTGGGAAAAGCTCTGCTCAGGGTGACCCTTGTCTGGAGGGGCCTGACCCTGTGAGGGTGCCCAGGCCCTCTCTGACCCACTGCTGCACTTTCTTCTCCCAGGGGTTGGCATCACTGGGCACACTCCCAAAGGACCCTGGAGCTTGGAATGTGGTCATCCCTCCCAGCTGCAGTTAGGGGAGAGGCTCCCACCTGGTCTTTGGGTTGGACCCTGAGCTTCTCATGCTTGTAGCCGCCTCCCTTCCTCTAGTGCTACCTCTGCAGCTCAGCTGGAGGGATCCTGCCATCCCACAGCCAGCAAGCTCCCAGGTGTCCCAGACACAGGACCACAGGTCCTAAATCTACCCTCATGTGGAAGCATCTCCCTCTGGAGCTCCACTCCTCCTGCACAGAGGCTGGATGTGTCTGCCCTGCCCTGGGGACATGAAACATCCTCCGGGACAGGTGTTCAGCATCCCGACATCCCCATGGGGTGGATGCTCCATCCCTACTAATTTGGGCTCCCAAAAGCGAGCCCCTCGACCCCACCACAGCCTTGGACCCCAAACTGCCCATCTGGAGCCTGACTCACCATGAACTCCATGTTGGCAGCAGGGGGGGACACTTGAGCCCGCACTTGGTTGTGGTAATCCAAAATCACGCTCATGTCGTGGGGAGAGAGGTATCGCTTCCGACGGCTCCGGGGGACCCCCGCGCCCCACAGCAGCCCCGCGGCCGTGCCCCCGGGCGGGGACAGCAGCTCGGTGGCATTGGGCAGCAGGAAGGAGCTGGAGAGCTGTGTCACCCAGCAGCCCAGGGCGCTGAGGTACAGGTGCCAGTGCAGCACAGCCATGCCAGCCCGCCCGCTGGGACCCGTCAGCACCTTTCTGCTCCCGCCCGGAGTTGAGCAAGGACAAGGGGGATCGCCGGTCCCTGCTGCAGGCGGGTGGATCTAGGAGAGAAAACAACACAGGCACCGCTCAGGATTGCAAGCCCCACTTCCCAAAATAAGACGGAAATTAATTTTCTTTTCTTTTTTTTTTTTTTTTGGACTTTTCAAAATAAATGTTTTAAATTAATCTCTTTAATAACCTTATTTATCACAGCAGTTTCCCCGTGACTGTCAGGGATATATCTGGGGGATTGGTTTTCTTGTTGTTTCTTTAAAAAAAAAAAAAAAGTAAAATCAGTAAAAAATCTCCCCCATTTTTTCACTTATGGCACGTACCTGCGGGGCAGGGGCTAATTAGGAGCATGCTGAGAGATTCGCTGCAGCCGCCTGCCCTGTAACTTCCCAAGAATTTGGTGTGTTGAATAAATCCCCGGCACAAACAGAAATCTCACACAGATAAAGAAACGCACGGCAAGATTTAAAACCGTCGTCGAGAAATCCTAACGACTCTTTTATCTCAGGAAAAGAAAAATAACCACGGCAAAAGCAGAAAAATTAGGAAAAAAGAGAAAAAAAAAAAGGGAAGGAAAACGCTGGAATATGCCCTCATCCGTCAGCCGATGCACCTCCGAGCATCCCTGCCAGCCTTTCCCGGAGCAGCGGGGAGGACGTTCCCCCGACTACGTACCGTGAGGACTGAGCCAGGAGCAGCGGAGCGCTGGGATTGACCCGCACGAACAACCTGCCGGGGCAGATGCGGGAGGTTCGGCTCAGCCCCGGCGGGCAGCCCGCTGCGGCCGCTGACGCACAGCCTGCATCTTAACTCTTCCCCCGGGGAATGTCCTGAAGTTTGGAAGGAGCCGTGCCAGGAGATTTATAGGCTGGTGGATGGCTCGGCGCACACGGAGCCCCGCACGGGGCCGGGGGGAGCGGGCAGAGCCCGGCCCGCCGCTCCAGCGGGCACGGGGGGCTGCTCCTCGCTCTTGGCTGGGGTTTTGTTCAATGCACTTATAAGGGAGAGATTTCCAGGGTCATGTCTGCCCTGTTCATCCCCCCAGGCTGGGGTCTTGCTGGCAGCCGTGGGTAGGGAAGCGGGTCCAGGCCGGCGAGGGATGCGGGCGGGGTTTTGCCCCGGCAGGGCAGCGGCGGGGCTGGCACTCGCCGGGAGCCCCGGGGTCACCCCGTTTTGGTGCGGGCTGAGCAGATGGCAGAGATGTCTCTTTCTGGGGACAGCTGGGAGGGGACCTGGTGACTAGGTGTGTCCCTGGGCCAGCAGCTTTCTCTGTTAGAGATGAAGCCACTTGCTGGCTTGGGAGCTGCCACCTGCTTGTTCCCCAAGGACTAGGGCATGTTATAGCCCACGGGGGCTCTGCCCATGGCCCCACCACTGACCTGGGCTGGCAGTGCCCAGTCAGGGGCATCTCAGGGGAAAAGAGCCTCAGTGGGCTGTGCTCCCTGCACTGTGTCCAGGTGTCTGTCCGCAGGTAGGGGGGGACAGCAGCCTGAAAGCCATGGACTATCCTCCGGCATCAAGTGTGTTTCCCTACAACATCCCACACAGTCACAATGCCAGGGGCCAACTGAGTTATTGCAGGTCACAAAGATGCCTGTTTGGCTGCAGGGGCTGCTTGCAATGCCCATCACATCTTCCTCCCGGTGTGCTCAGAGCCAGCGCGGGCGGCCACGTGGGAGCTGCAGCAGGGCTTGCTGCCATCATCCCCCTGGGCCACAGTGCCTCAGGTCAGCAAGGTGCTCACCCTGCACTTCACTAGGCCTGGTTTCACCAGGGCACAGGCCAGTTTAGAGCCAGGATTTGGCTCTTCAGTTGAATGAGGAGGAGCACCAAGGCTGAAGTCCCTCTCCTGAGCTGGTGGGAGGCATGGAGAGGGAAGCATGGAGATGAGACCAGAGCATGCCCAGAGAAAAGCTGGTGCTCAAGCAGAGTAACAAGGAGGGTGACACCGCTGGGACAGTGCAGGGAGGAGAAAGTCCCACAGCAGCAGCCCATCACTGCTTGTCATCCTCACAGGTTTGACTGGGACAAGAATTGAGGATCCCAGACACACAACTCCTGCCTATGCAGTGACTGACAGCCCATCCCAGAGTCCATCCAGCTGCACCCAGCCACCCCAGAGACCTGCTGTGCAACAGAAGCTGATTAGGAGGTCAGGGAGGAGCAGATCTGATATGGAGTGGGAATAACCCCCAGGTGCTGAGCTGATGTGCTGTATCAATACAGCCTCACCCTGCTGGGAGCCTCTGCTGAAAGAGCCCCCTCTGTATATTTTTCCTGGCATCCTCTCTCACATAAAGCAACTCAAGATGCTGCAGGCCCTGGGGCCCACAATGAGACATGTGCTGGGGGGATATTTCCATCCACTCCCCACCCAGCTGGTGGGATGATAGTTGTGCCAGCAAGGAGACAAAGCCCAGCTGAGGCATCTCTGGCCCCACTACAGCACTGCAGGAGGGGATCCCTCAGCACAGAGAGCAGCAGCACCCCGTGACCCAGCTGGGCTGGACACGCTGTGGAGGGCTGTGCTGTGCTGTGGATGCTGGCACTGGGCATGTCAGGGTGTCAAGGTGGCTCTCAGAGCCCTCTGACTATCCAGGCTGCCTGTTATAGAGGTCTAATCAGCTCAGCTTCACCTTCCAGCACCAGGCCACCCCAAAGGACCAGACACCTCTGCAGGTGCTGGGCAGAGTGCCATCTCCAGTTTGCCAGTCCTGCTGACACCCCTATTTCACATTCCTGAATGCAGACAGGAGTGCCAGCTCCAGGGGCCAGGACAGCCCTTCGTGCTGCACAGGGTGGCACACACTGAGGCTGCCTCCCTCTGCTCAACCCCAGCTATCAAATCTCTCATTAGTGAGGCTGGTAAAGGCAGTTTCATTCCCAGCAGATTAAAAAGGCAGATGGGGACATGCAGCAGTGAATGTCTTAACTGGGCAGACTGGGAGGTGCAGCTGCCACCAAGTGCATGCCAAGGTGGGGAGGGCACTAGGGCTGTGTTGTGGAGGGGGTGGTTTTTTGGTGATTTATTATTTCACAAAAGACAGAGCCCTGAGCAGCAAATGCTCATCCAGCCCCGGGAACTGCAAAGCTTTTCATCTGGGATTTTTTTTGGAGTTTTCTGTGTCCCTGGAGCTCGGGGAGAGAGAACCCACTGCAGGTCCCAGTGCCACGCAGCAGCCGAGCCTCTGTGCAGGGGCAAGGCGAGGGTTTTGTCTTGGGTGCAGATTGAAAGCACTGCTTAATCAGCACTCTGTGAGACAATCCAAATTCCAGGAACTGGAAGGGGTTTGTGTCCCTGCCAGGCGTAATATCCTGCAGCCCAGACTGGCCCAGCTGCCAAAGCACACGGTATCTACAGCGAGGACCTTGCTGGGAGCCAAGAAGCACAGGCATTCAGCTGGATACAGCAGCAGCACCGGCAAATTCCCGTTTTAATGAGCACTGGAAGGGGGGAACAAAAGAGATAAATCACTGGGTTCAAGCACTCTCCTGGCAGAGACGCCCACCGATGCTTTTATGACCAACAGACACAGCAGCTCGCTCCAGAATAAGCCATAATGGGACTGGAAGGATTTCTCTGTCATGTTTGTTTCTCCCATCTGTTGGCTTTGGGCATCCCCCATCATGGTGACATGAGCCCACACAGGACTGAGCAGGGCTTTGACTTTTGCTGAGAGTCAGAATCTTCTCTGGTCTCTGAGCATCCTGATGCCTGGAGGAGGTTGACGTGGATTTCCATAGCAGGGAATTTTTACTTTTCTCTTTACTTGAGGTAAAGTAAAACAAAACCAAAATTCTGTCTGAACAAAACTTTTCTCAGGCAATGCACAAACTCTGTTGCTGCAGTAAAATATTTCCCTCCTATGAACAGACGGAAAGGCTCATTTTCCATTTTCAGTAAAAGCTGTTAATTCCCCCCAATCCCACCTCAAAACACCACCAAGAGCTCCAGCTACCCTGGTGCCCATCCTGGTAGGGAAGGAGAGTGAGGCTTTTGATGGATTTTTGCATTTCTGGAGCACTGTAGAAGTCTAACACATCCAGAGCTTGATTTCTCCTAATGTATCATGAAAGGAGATCTTCCTTCTGACTTAAAGGTCATAAAATTTGATCTTTGTATCTTCTGATGTGAGAAAACCCAGGCTGAGCTCCTGTACATTAATTTGGGATCTCCTGGGAATGAAACACATTGTTGAGCTGTAACACAAGTGAGATCAGTCCTGAAGTCTGAGGAGTTCAGAGTCATCCTTCTTGCTAATTAGGACCAGATCCTTGTAAATGCTGAATGCCTTTGTGGAACCAAGATGAACCTTGAGGAAGAGGTACTGGAAAAGTCCAATCTCACACTGAAGACGTGACCATCAACAGGGACAGGCAGTTGGGTTCTCCTGGAGCCTTTCATATAATGCCCAGCACCTGGCTCTGCTTCAGAGGTGATGTCCTCTCATAACCCACTCGTTCTGCTTGTGTATTTGCTAGGACATGAGAAAAACTAAAAATAGAGGTGGAAAAAAACCCTTTCCCATTTTATATATAGCCATGCTGTGGGGGGCCAGCAGTCGAGAGCGTGGGCAGGATCCTGCACATGTGGGTGTGACCACCCAGGCTGGCTCAGCAGGGCAGCACAGAGCAGCCCTGCCCTCAGCCTGGCTACTGACCCCTCTCCAAAGGCCACCTGGGCACTGGCCCAGCCCTGAGAGCTGTGATTTGCTTCTTTTGCTGGCCAGGTCCTGACAGGAGCCTGATTCTTGAAGCCTTTAGTACCAGCAGCAACCCCAGCTGAAAACACTAGAAGAGTAATGCTTTAGTGTCATGAAGTAAAGAACACTAGTTTTGGGGTGTTAACTGAGGTGTCCATCAAGATTAATTTGATCCCACATGAACTCCTGGGTCAATAGCTGGGTGTCAGCCCCTCACCACTCCCCTCATTTCCCGTGGCACTGTC